TCTAATTCCACATATAATATAATATAAAATTAAATTAATTTTTTTGGTATTCTCTAGCTATTCAATTTTCCTTTTCGTCTGCGTCATATTTATACACTACTATGTCACTTATTCAGTTTTTGTAACATATATTTATTTTTATTTTATACATTATATTCATATCTATATGCATAGAATTCATTATTTATTTATTTTTATTTTTTTGTATTTGAAAATTTTCTTTTTATTATTTTTATATTGTACTTTTTATATAATAATAATCAGCTTACAGCTACAATAAGTTCCAGGAACTCGGAACAATACGTTTACAAAAATATATTTGTATGTATGTATATTCTTACATATTTATATATATTGGATATTTGTACGCAATTATTATATATGTATATTCCCACAATTCGAAATAACTCCTTATAATCATGTAATCATATTTTTTGTTTCACTGTAATAGGTTTATTTAATAATAATAAAACTATGGCAACAGCTTTCAGCTTTTTAGAGTTGTCGAGCCTTTGTATAAGCTTATTAAATTTTTATTAATGGAAAATATTTTGATGTGAAAAGCATGTACATCCGCAAAATTCAGTATTTAAGGAAGTTTCCTCACAGCTTTAACCTTTTTCCCATTTCACTAGGAACTCTTAAGGACCCCTCGCTCAAGCCAGCCCTACAGGCAACAATAACAGCCGTAGACATGGACATTCTGTTTAACATGATAATATTTGTACTATGCGCAGCGCTGTCTGCCTGCCACCTGTTGCCCACCTGTGTAGTAATTGATGTAATGTCTGTCGAGGCTGTGAAGTGTCACAGCCGCTGCCGTTTGCAATTGCAATCGTTGTTGCCGCCGCTCGTGTTGAGTGCCTTGTTGATCCTTTTTTGCACAGCTCCAATGGCTCCACTTGAAACTCAAAAAAGGAAATGCATGAAAAAAGGAGTTTTTTATGTGGAAACCGTGCAGCTGTCTAGCTCTAGTCGGGCCTATTGCCCCCCAGCCCCAACCACCACCCCAAAAAGCATTTGAACTTATGTATGTATAAGCACTTGGCTAAATGATAAATAGCATACGAGTTAAGGAGGCTGCATAGGGCACCGTGAGAGCTCCCACACACCTAGTCACCTTGGCGCGTGGATAACGAGAGAGAGAGAGAGGCGCGCATCCTTCTCGAGCTAAGCCCAAATGTAATGAAAATGAGATGAAAATTATTGCACCGTAAATCAGCTGCGTCCCGGGCGCCCAGCTGCGCTAGCTGCTTTCCTAGGGCTAAACGTTTGCAACTGCTTAATTTGGCTTTCATTGCGTCTTTTCTTTTCCCTTTTGCCTTTCTCTATATACTCTCTTTTTTTTAGCAATCCTTGCTTGGCGGGCCTGACATGAATTATTTAACGATCTCCAGCTGCGTTGATGCGATTTCGCAAGCATGGCTCTAAATTAAAGCTATAACAAGCTTAATGCACGCCAAAACCGCAAAACGGAAGACGGACCCCGAACCAAAGCCAAAAACTTCATTTAATGCTACAATGCTGGCCAAACAATAAGCGACCCCCAAACTCGACTCGACTCGACTCGACTCTATGTAGCCATAGACACAGATACAAATTCCCATTCAGATACACATACATGCATACATACATACATACGGCGCTTTGGCCATGCTTCATGTGGGGACTTAACTCTTTGTGTGTATGTGTGCGTGTGTGTGTGGAGCACCGAAAAACGTCGTTGTCGACTTTCCAATTTCAAGTGAAAAATCCCGCGAATGAACATGTAAACAACAATGCCACGATAGGTGGGCAAAGGCCAAAAACAACAACARCGTTAAAACAAAGGCACAAGCCGAGACGACTAAGATTGATTCGAGGCATAAAATATTCGACTAGCGAATGCACTAGGAATTTGATAGTAAATATATTCAAATGAAAAAGAAGATGAAAGCCAATAATACTATCAAATAATGTTTTGGATTCATAAATTGTGGATATGACTTGAAATACTTATGTGCATAGTTTGTAGTAAGAAGCTAGTAAGTAGCTAATAGTTAGTTCAAGTGAAGGTTTTAGCGCCACACTTTTTAAATTAAAATTGTGTTTACAATATATACAGAAACCCCTCAACTTGCTAAATTATAAATAACATAGTTATATATATTTATAAAATACACTATACAATTATTCAAAATTTCCAATCACAATAAAATATTTTATACTCACTCTCGAAACTGATATAAGTATATTGGGTCTCTGTAATGTCCGCCTTGCTGTCCGTCCGCGTGTTCGTATGAATGCAAACCTATTTATAAGCGTTTGGAGCTAGAAACTTGAAACACCGAGGATAGACTGTTCAATACCCTCGAATTATGAAGTGCAAACATTTTTCCAATACTGCCACTAAGCGCATGGGAAATTGGAAAATTTATTTTCCAGTATGCCAGATGTCATATTAGTTGATATGGATATATTATTCGGATTGACTACAACATACAAGATCAAAAATTTGTGGAATGTATAAGCGTGTTGGCAGCCCAAGATTAAAAATTAAATATTAAATTAAAAATCTATGCCCGTTGGGTCACTTTAAATCAGGTGAGACAGTAGAGAGTCCAGGTCTAAATGTGTACGACAAATAATTGGGAATACTTATCGATTTCGTATATTTAAAAAAAAAGTGCTGATTTAATATTCAAAACCTTTCTTATCATTATTGGTTTACAGTTTACTTTATCCTATTCAGAAAATCAATTTTAATGCAGTTGGATTATTTATTTATTATTGATACATGGATGCATGATCTCTTATTGATATAGACAATTTCCATCAACTCTCTTTTAATTGAATGTTGAAAAATCCCTAAGCTGTTTCATTTTGCAGCTAATATATCCGTCTAGACATACTCTATATTCAGCATCAGTTTGGCAAATCCGGCCGAAAACTACTGACAGACACCGCTGGGCGCATTCAATGCCAACGCTTGCTTCCTGTATCTGCAGCTGCAAGTGCATATGTATGTGTGTCTGTATCTGTATCTGTATCCGTTGCAGTCACTGTGGCTGTAGCTGCAGCTCGAGCTGTGGCGCGTATGAAAAATTTGCAGTGAACGTTGGAACCAAAGGGGAAATCCTAAAAGCAAATGAAATGCTGCTGAAACCCACTTGAAATATATTTGGCAATGAAAATATAAGCAAAAGGAGATAAGCGCAGACATAATAAATAGAACGAAACTAAACTCGCGCGTCGAGAATGCTGCAACGCACTTGCAACATTGCGTGGCATGCAACACAAACAGCTAAAGCAGCAGCAAGCAAAAGTGCAAGCCAAGCTCAGCTGCTGCTTTTAATCCCTGGAAATTTGTCTAAAAACCCGAAAATCCGCGTCGTTCCGTGTTCTTCGTAAGGCTGATGAATGACATCGCTCTCTCGCTTGTCGCTGCTGTGCAAATTATAAAAGCAATTTGCATTATGTGGGTCGCCGTTGTCCTGGCTTAAATGTGAATAAAGCCACGAGGAATACCATGCCCCCACCCCCACTCAATGCCCACCCAACAAATTATTCACGCTCAGGCATTGTTTGCGAGTCGTTAGCTGCTGCCTTTGGCCTTAAATTAGCTTTGCACTGCAAGACTATGATTTGTACTCTGTCAGAACTCATATTCAAATAAACTTTGTTGTTGAAAATGTGCAGAAAACCAAAAATGCAAAACTCATTTTGATTCTGTAGTAGGCCAATAAGAGTTTAGAAGGAAGAGCACTAACTAGTGCTGCAAAAATATCGGATCGGAATCGTTATAATCGATATTTTCGAATTTTGGCAAAAGATCGATATGGTTTTCTTAGTATCGATATATCGAAAAATGGTTATTCTTGGCGTTGGTTTTAACTGTGTAAGAAGCGCATTTATTTAATTTTGCTAAATTATATACAAATTGATTGATTTAATTTAATTGCAATAGAAAGAAAAAAAATTGATCAGTTTTTGGGAAGAAAACGTAAGTACAATTGATATATCCTATTGGAAAAGCTTGGAATCATAGCTTGTGTGTTTTAGGCGCGGCGAGGGTGGACTCCGATGAAGAAAATAAGACCGTGGGAGCCCCAAAAAATCCGAAGTGTGGAAATATTTTGAAAAAGGAAAGGATGGTTGTGCGGTGTGCAGAAATTGCTTTAAGGTCTGCAAAACAAATGGAAATACCACAAGCCTTAAAAATC